TGCTGGACTAGATGGGCCTTTGGCCTCTAGTTCAGCTGAGCTTTTCTTGGTTTCTTATAGTCTCCCTCCTTCAGAACTTTGACATATTCTTGAACTGCATTCCACTTTATTTTTCGATAATAACATCTGGTATATGCATGTATGCCTTCATGTAGTGATTTCAGTTTTCTCATAGGCATTATGAACATTCTTTGTTGAAAGGATAATTATATTGAATTAGAATGTATTTTAAGTAAGATAATTATCCTTTGCATAAAGAATGTACATAATGGCTATGGGAACCCTGAGGTCATCCATACGACAGACTCCCACGCACAGCCCTTCCCTGCGCTCCAGCATTTTGCAAGTGTAGCATTACAGGATGGTTTATTCTTGCACGAGACTCCTAAAGCACAGTAACTCTGTGGCATGGGAAATGTGTGGCCTCCCAGATGCTGTTGGACCAAAGCACCCTTTGTACCTGCCCATTTGCCACGCTGACTGGGGCTGATGGGAATTGGAGTCCAACAACAGGTTTCCCATCCTTGCAGTGGACCTGAATAGTTGCAAGAGGGTGTCTGTCACATGTAGGCAGGCCTGTGGACACAAGAATATTTTTACTATTGCTTAGTTTTTCGTTCCTTTTTTCTTCTTCATTAGCTTGGAAGACACGTCTTCTACCATCTGTTTACAAGAAATCTTTATTTAATCCAGTGACACAGTCCCATCCTTGTTATTAGCATAGCACTTATTTGATAGTGGTGAGTTCTGCAACAAGCCTATAATTGCTCTATTTGCAGGGGCCTTTGTTCCCTTATAGATGCCTCTTGTGTTCATTGTTTGCTGAAACTCCTTGCATTCCCTAATTTATACCAGTCAATTACTATCTGACCAAGGATGGTTAATGAAACAAATCACAACAAGCATGGCTACTTCGTACAAATGCTGTCCTCTTTCATGTAGTAGTGCCAACATTTGGTTTACTTTCTTCAATATCCCTGGCCAACAGTAAAAAAAATCAAACTGGAACATGACAACCAAATGACTTGCATTAAGATAATCATCAGCATACTAGATTTGAAATAAGGGGGTGCCATGAATTGCATTTTGATGACGCGCCTTTGAAAATCAACTGACAAATCCATGTTGGTTTTCAAAAAGTGTGTTCAATTTTTAAATGGCTTTCTCTTTTGCACTAATTCAGATTTGAAAGTTATGCATTAAGAGATATACTGAATTCTTAGCATTGTTTGTAAAATACCCCATAATATTTATTAGCATTTCTATAGAGCTTCTCCTGCATTAGCAAAACCTACTCCACCAAGTAATTGGGCTGACTGCCAAACTAGGCAGTCTCTCTCCCCATATTAAACTGCTTTGTAATCATGTTCAGAGATTTATTCTCCGTGGATAAGCAGCGCAGTCACTGTCCTCCTCCAGACACTTCTGCCAGAGATTCCATTCTCTGTCTGCTCAAAGACCACAAGAAACATCCAGTTGGATCAGGCCAAAAGCCTGTCTAGTTGTATCAGTCTTTTCCCCAACAACAGATATTCAGAGGCATACCACCACTGATTCCTGAGGAATCAGCCATCTTGGCTTGTAGCCTTGGTTAACCTTATCCTCAGTGAATTTGCCTGAAACCTTTTCAAAGCCAGCTAAATTGTTCAGCTACATTTGGTGGAACACAAGTTCACCATCCCCTCTATAAAGATACGTGTCGGACCAAAGTGTGTGCAAAGGCACCCCTCCAATGTTTTGCTCTTCCCAGTTTTGCCTGTGGCTCTGCTTACCATTGGAATGTGACCTTTGAAAGGTTTTTACAGAAATATATATGGCCCTTGAGCTGAAAAAAGGTTCCCCACATCTGTACTAGGGAAATAGGGCGTCTGAATCCAGCTCTGTCATCTCTACCGCTTTCCCAAGTTGTTGTTGGTATGTGTCTGTCTCCCTGGGTAGATAACCAACAACATTAGAACTGCCAATGACAGTCACATGATTGGTATAGTATATGTGCTACTGAGGCAAGCACCAGTCACATGGTTGGTGAGCAAATTGCTGTGCAACTGTTAATTCAAGGCTCATGAATCTGTCCCCGTGGCTAGCAAAATATGACTTATATTTAATTTTGCCTGGCTTTATCTGTAAGAAAGTAATCAAATGAAGGTGGTCTAATGGCAATGCCAGCCGGCGAGGGTGAATCTCTTCTAAATAAATTAGCTACCTAATATAAATGGAAATTATGATTAAAACTAAGCATTTGAATCAAGGCTGCCTTGTTGTTAAATCATGATTAAAACTCGTGATGTAAATCAAAGTGGTTTAAATCTATTTGACCGGCTCCTGAGATTATCTGAGAAATGCTAATTAGATTTGGAGGCTCAGAGAGATACTGTAAGGGGGAAATGATAATAGAGACCCACATTGCATTGATTGCATAGGTAAAATAATTAGGGGTTTCATTTAAAGAAAACAATGGAATTGACTCACAGAGTCTGGGCAGGTTTGACATAATTGAGACAATTTGTGGAAGACTCCCTACTTGGAGTGAGGGAGGCTGGTAGAATGTGGCCTTTGCTGATCAAAGAGCTTTAAGTACAGAAGGAAACCATGACAACAGGTGGCGTAGGTTCAAGGAACCAATTGGTTGAAGAAGTAGGAACCACAGGAACACACGTAATATCTAAGGCATGAAAAGAAAAAAGTTACTGCTTTTGCATTCCGTAGATTTTAATCCCATTTTATTATCTTCCTTAAGCACTTGAGGTAGCTTGCAGTAGCAGCTTTCAAAACAAATCTGCTGCTGGTATGGCGAATGATTCCCAAACTGTTTGCTAGAATGACTAGTGTACTAAGGTGTGGCCTTGAAGCACAATCCTCTGCATGTCTACTGAGATGCAAGTCCTGCTGAGTTCAGTTGTGTATAGGTTTGTCTCATTAATATTTCTATCCCATGTTTTGTAAATCATCATATGTTCACTAAAGATGTCAGACTAACTTCCTATTTGGGAATCATATTTTCAGAAATATGATTATGTTTTGTGTTTGGATTTGAACAAACCACCTGACAAGACATTATGTGGGAGATTGCTATTTGCATAGAGTAAGACAAACATTATGGGCTTGAATTTGGTAATAGAATAATCTAGTGCTGAGCAACGCCCCCCTTTTTTTCTATTCAGTATCCAGTTGGAGACACCAAATCTGGGGTGGAAGCATTTAGGCATTTCTTTCAGGGAGCAAATGTTTATGGCAGCCCAAATTCCTCACCCCAGTTTCAAGGAACAAAATTCATCCCTCCTTTTTTTGTTATCTGAATATTCTTCCTCAAGAACTTTTGGCTCAGCAGTAGCTCTAGCTGAAATAAAAGAAAGGCAGTGTGGGTAGAACTGGCCAGAGTCCAACTGTGCATGTGGGAAAGCAATTTTATTTGACATGGTTTATTTTAAAATTAAGTCAGTGCCTTTCTAATAAAACTGTCAAAATGGCTTAACAATAAAACGAAAGAAAAGTCAATATTAAAATAGCATATGAAGCCTATGTACAGTTTTACATCTAATTTTAATTTGAATGACAATCTGAATCCCAAAAGCTTCCTATAATTGGTGACAGAAGCACAGAGCACCTCTCTGCCAAGGGCGTTCCCACGTAGATGGTGTCACAATGGTCCCATCTCAATCAGCCTAATAAGGCAAACAGATGGACCCTGAAGCAGGCTGCCTCTTGATGATCACACAGCTGCAAATGTGGGTCACATGGGGAAATTTTATTCCTTCATTTACACAGAGCCTATGCTGTTTAGGATGAGCACCTTTAAAATACTCCATAAAGTAGCATGTATAATAGGAAACCAATTGAAATTCAGAAACACAAAGCTTTTATCCAACACAGCATAAATTAAAAAGCTAGCATCTCCCCAGTCAGCTCTCTGATGGGAAAGCTGGGTAAGGGACTGAATCTAGCCCTCTACTCTTTCAGACAGTTGAATGGCAGAATCTCATCTTTTAAAGAAAGAGAAATGCATGTGCACACATGTTGAAGTGAAGAAGAAAACTGAATGCAGGACCTTTTTATATATGCAGTTCACACTAAAAGATGGATCAGTGGATGGGCTGCCAGTACCTTCCAGAGGTGTGGTATGGCTGAAACAAGAAACGAGAGACCAAACATTTAGGCCTCTGCCTCAGATGGTGGTCAGTCACTCCACTTCAACGCTACCCTCTCCTGCCCACCACCACAGAAAGTGTGGCAGCATCTTTGCAACTCCTTGCTTCTTGCCCAACCAGACTAGTTAGCAAATGGGTGGGGTATAAATTATCATTATTAACATTATCATTATCCTGTGTCACCATATGTAACTCAGAGTTTAGGGCCAAAGATAATAAACAAAAATGCAATAGTAGGGACATTGCACTCTGTCAGGAATAAGAGAATATGAGAATAAGTCTCCTTCAACACTCTCCCTCTGTCTCTCATGGGGGGGCACCAAACCCTAACAATTTTGCTTTGGTGTTGACCCATCTGGAGTCATCCCCACAACCTGCAGCAGAGCCTGTTTATATAGCAAGGCAGGCACTGGACCACATCCACCTCACTTATTTCTGGTTTTATAAATGATAGTAACACACAATTACTGCACCATCCTCCTGCTTTCTTGTATTTTGCCTTGAAGTATATTATGGGATATACCGGTAATTGGAGAAACATTCCAATTATGGAATAGGTTAACCAGCAGAATCTTGTGTCACACTAGCATGGGGTTGTTTTGTTATTCTCAGGGTGAGCTTGGAGACACAGTTCACTTTCAGAGATGCTTATTTTCTCAGTAAGATCCCATAGCAATGGACAGTCCTTTTTTTCTTGACAGATAGATAACCATGTTAGTATTGTCTCCTTGGACCTTCCCTTCTCCTTTGTACCCAGTTACCTCGTTCCTTCACATTTTCTAATATTACCCAATATTGCCCCGAAACTATAATAAACTGAAACTATAACAGGAAAAAAAAACAGGAGTGAATTACTTCTGTGTGTGCCAAACAATATTTATTTCAGCTTGATTAGTAATGTAAGTCACGCCATGACTCATCAACATCAAAGTAAGCTGAAACAAAGACATGACTCCAAGAAGTGAAAGGCTTTAAACAAATATCTGCAACCTGAGCCTTGTGGAATTTGAGTTTCTGAGGGAGCAACTCTGATGTCCACAACCATTTCATATTGTGGTGCCAGTTGTGAGAACTCCGGTTCCAGCTAGAATGTGTAATTTGCTGCAATTGATAGGATTACTGCATCCCTGATTTGCACAAATCACACCAGTCACCTGCCCACTCCTCACATGAAGGTGCTGGTATGACTGATACTGCCATATCATCTCAGCCAGGCTTGGGATTGGCACATGGCATCCTCAGATGGTGGCTGCAGGTCCCATCACTGGTTTCTGCCCAGAGAAGGTGGGAAATTCCGTTATGCGAGCATTAATCCTTGCACTGGTAGATTGAGTTGCTTAGCACTACTTTGTATACAACCCACTGTTCTTTACCTTAGTACCTACAAAATAATAATAATAATAAGAAGAAGAAGTAGTAGTAGTAGTAGTAGTAGTAGAGTGGAGAAAGCAGATTTAGTATTCTTCCATGTCAACCCTACTTACACTCACTAACTAATCACAAAAGCATTGAGGGCCAACATTTCTAATACATTTTCCAGGAAATTGTTAACAGTTTCCTAGCAACCACTGTGACACATGTGAAGCTTTGTTGCTGCTGAGTTTTAAGAACTCCCCCCTCCAGTTTATGAAATCCACTAGAAGTGGAGGTAGCAACTATTATATTTTAAACTTGACTCCACGTTATACAGCATAAGGAGGAATCTGCTATTTTATGCCCCACGAAGACCCAACATGAGAGCATCCAGCACTCAGAAAAAGGCCTTAGGGGCATTTGTGCTTGCATGTAAAACATGTGCACAGGTACACAAGAGGTGCTAAGTTGCACCTGCATAGTTTGGGTTCCAAAACGTTCAGGAAACTTCCACAAGTAGGGGAAGCTCCTCACTTTATGCCTTCACTATCCATGAGTTGGAAGGGTCATTGGGGGGGGGGATCTTAGCTTGCATGTAGCTTTACGTGTAAGTCAGGGGTGTGGAAAATCCAGTCTGCAGGCATTTTTAGGCCTAGCAAGGTCCCCAATTGGGCCTGTGAGGCTGTTTTCCCATAATTATGCCCACCTGCCCCACACCTGATGTCGTATTTGTGATATCAAGTGTAGCATGATGTCAGGTGTAGGGCAGGTAGATTTGTGTGTGCTCCTTAACATGTCATGGAGATTACTATCACTGCTGTTGATTGGCTTTGAGTGCAGGCCTGCTGGGATCAGCTGAGCTATGGTATTCCCCATAGAAAACTTAGTAGCACATCCATACCCTGCCCAAGGCAGGAGTTGAAGCCACCTCCTTCAAGTCTGCTGGAATGGCTGCACTATTGAGTTCCCCATGGGGAACACAGCTGAAACTTGCAGAAGGTAGGGCTTGATGTCACTGATATCAGTGATGTCAGTCCTACTGGACTGGCCCTGCCCACCTCCCAAAGTGGCCTGCCATCAGTAGGGGAGCTCAGAATATGGTCCACTAACCAGAGCCAGTTCCCCACACCTGATGTAAGCAGAGTGTCTAAATAGGGCACCTCCTGCTTAAATCTGTAGGTCATTGATAGATTATGGGTGCTGAAAGCCAACTTCTGGTATGGAAAGGGAGCTAGTTTCAGGCTTGGCAGTGAGAGACAATAGGTAGATCCTTGGTGCAAGTAAGCATGGCATTTGGTTATGTCAGACACCACTTTCTTATTCAGGAAGGGGAAGTGTAGGCACATAAGCACAGGACAGAGTCCCACTCTCCTTTCATGTTGTGTTCAGGAAAGTAACATCCGACCATGTCCTGAGAGACAGAGGGTAGCAGAGATGGTGGAATGAAGGAAGTTCACAGTGATATAGCTGACTTTGTTCAAAACATCTGATAACCAAGGATTTCAAAAGCCCTTTCATCTTTGGTGTATACTTTGAAAAACATTAAATGTAATAATTCACAAAGCTATTTCTGCTTCTGAATTGTCACATTTTGAGAACTGGGACACCACAGGAAAAGACGTTTATATACTGAGCCGTCTCCTTACATTACATTTCAATTTATCATAGTGTCACAAATGAAGGTGATTTTTGGGTCATTTACAAAAATGGTTTGCTGGTCCATCATATCAGGGCCTCCCCGCCCCCCATGAGAGCTAGTTAAATGGATCTTATGAAAGGTGCAATAATCCCAGTTTTCATATGAATTATACAGAAATTTATATAATCATTTTCATTTTTGATGATGTTGAAACAAATGGTGGCTTTCTCTTTGACAATGATTATTTCAATCTTTTAGTGTTTCAACAGGGATTTAGTATGTTGGCCTCAGGGAGACTAAAATACTTCGATTATTTTAGTTTCAGCAGTTTTGGTTCCCTAACTATATATTGTACAGCTATATGACAGCATCAACCAAATGGAATATGCATTTGATCATTGAAGTCATTGTGCCAGCTGGTAGAGTTCTGTCAAAACATCACCTGGGGAAACAGGAAAAAAGCAGGAGAAAACATCTTGCAAACTCAATACATGTTTTACATTTTTATAATTTCTCCTCCTATGAGATATTAAATTTAATCACTCTGCGGGATACCTTAGTTGTTCATTACTAGATGGTTAAAACTTCCATTTTCTTCAGGTTTATATATTTTTCATTGTTAAGCAGGACTAGTGGGTTTTAAGGAAGGAAGGTAAAACAGTAGAGTGTTGGATGAATCAGCAAGCCTCCTCCAAAAAACAGAGAGCTATGAAAGGAGCAGAAGAAGACTGGTTTGAAGAACAAGGTTTTCTTTCTGCTCCTGAAGTCCAACACACCCTGCAGCTGTATCAGTTTCCATCACTTGAACAGCTGGTCCAATTATACATTATCCTTGTAGTGCTGATTATTTTAAGATTTTCTGAAGGCCACCCATTGACTTTAATTAAGCCAGTATTTCATAACATGAGCAAAAATCTAGTCTTATTAACTATCCCACTAGAAATAATGTGAGAGTTGCTGCAGTGCAGTTCTTAAGAGTGTGAACAGTAACTTCCCATAATCAAATCCACAACCACAAATAAGGATGTTCTAAGAATTCATTCTTTGCAATATGAATTTTTCTGCATCATGGAGTGAAAATAGACTGATCTGTTCCTCCTTAACCATGAAGTCCCTAGGTGACATTATTAGACAACCTTATCAAGCTGCCTCAGCCCCTTTCTGAAACCTGGGGGACAACAAAGGTTGTTTTAAATGTATATTGTGTGTGAAGTGCTGTGAACAATGCAAAGCTTTGAACAAATGCTAATTAATTTTTTTGGATTAAACATGGCACATTGTGATACTATTATGTTTTCCTAATATTGTGTTCAAAATAGTGAGATCCCAGATCAAATATATTAAATAATGGGGTGAGTGATCAAAATTAAAGCACTCTTCAAAACAGAAGAAATCGTGTTAAAAGATGTGATGGCAATGACTGAAAAGTGGGTTTAAAAAGTCATAGGCTGCTTCATCGTGTACAAATGAATATAACCTAATGTAATGTAAATGTTAAACATATGTAAAACGAGAACATCAACTATTACTTTACTTGTAGGATTAGAGAAGTGAAAAAATAACTACACAGAACAAGCAGCCTCTTGGTGTAGGAAACTTGTGCAGTGAACAGAATAATAATTTCAGTTTATTTCTCTTCCTCTAAATTCACTCATGATTTGAACGGGATGGATTTTCTTCTTAGCCGACCCTTTCCTGACAGCTGCATAGATTTCCTCTGGCTTCTCTCTCTTAATCAAAGGCTTCTTTTCCGGAGCCTTCATCCGCCACATCACCACAGGGTGTCGTGGGCCAGCAGGACTTTGAATTCTGATAATCTTCGTAGAGGCGATATAGGACATCTTCACTGTCTGCACCACGGCATTCATCAAGTTCTTGGCAGCCTGAATTAGTGAAGTCACGCTGTCCAACTGTAATCAGAAACACAACTGTTAACAGCCTCAGAAATCAAGCGAGCTGTAATCAAAAACAAACATTTAAAATGCAGGTGATCTTTGTTTCCGTTTGTGCATTCCATGTAAGGAATACGCCAACATGAATGCAGAAGGGTCAAAAGTTATTTGCAATGTTGGATAAATAGAAGCTTGAGGTGAGGACAGAGTTACTTTAACAGTGGACTTTTTTTTTTTTTTTGCATTTGTAAAGCATTACAGCCAGCTGGAAACCTAAAGACAGCACAATTTAAAAAACAAACCCAAGAACAATACAGTAGAATCACTAAATCACAGTCTTAAATATAATTTTGGCTATAATTTGTCTTAGAAATGATGTTACACATCTTTTAATCCCCTGATCTTTTGTGATTTCCGAGGTCTGCAAATTTGATTGAGAAGGTTTATATAGAAAAAATATTAACTGCTTGATCAAAATGTTCTCAAAGTGATGCATAAATAATAGAAAGATAGATAAAACTTGGCTAAAATCAAATATACCTATAAAACCATCATAATTAAAAGCAAATATTAAAATCAACAAAACCTTTAAGACATATGTAGGTAATGGAACTATATGTCTGGATTATTGTGTCATTCTAATGAGGAGTAGGACAACTGTGCCATGTCTCCAAAGAATGGAGAAAAAGAAACCAATGGATACAAGAGTTTTTAGAAACAAGCTGAAAGCACACACTATATTTTAATATTTTTATGAATGGTGTATGTTTGCACACATATTGCTTTCATTCTCTGTGGAGGAAACACACAGTTATCCAGAACTTTCAGGAAAACTGATGCCAGTTTCTAAATAAAATCCTCTTACATCCATAAGTTTTTTCTCTTAACATTTTCTCACCCCTAATTCTGCGTTGGGACTTTGAAGCAGGCTTCTAACTCTGTCTCTGCAGCTGGGTTGGAATTATGCAACGTATTGGTCCCATCCTCATACAACAGCTATGGTGGGGACACATGTAGCCCTATCAGATAGTTTGGTACTACCCCCAGCCAGGGGCGGAGCTTCATGGTCCGGCACCGGGGGGCAGGGGGGCAGCTGCGATGGCACCCTGGCCGGGATCATTCTTCCTTGTGCTAGTATTTTCCCTGTTTCTTTTTTCACAGTAAACTTTTAAAGTCGGTGTTGATATAGCAAATAAGATTTAACAACAAAGGAGTTCAGCTTTGCTGCTTAGTAATAGAAAGCAACAAGCTCTAATTGCTCAAGACTACAATGAGCCTTGCCTTTCTAGTTTTGCAGCTAGTTTTGCATTATTTATTTATAACATTATTTATAGCCTGCCTTTGGGGGCATAGCCCATTCAAGACAATTCACAATGTCATAAAAGCATAATACATAACACAAGCTTTCAAAAAGTGAATAAAGGAGCAGTACAGTATTAACAGAAACATATGCCAGTTAAACAACAGAAAATTCCTGTAGATGTATTGTGCCGCTGTTTAAATACACCTAAGTTGGGGGAGGAATAATGGAACTCTAGAAGAGCAGAAGATTTTTAGGCAGATGATTTCCAACATGGACTGCATAGCATTTGAACTGTGTCATATTTCATTTTTGTGTATGAGCCTCTTGGTGAATGTTAAAATTCTTCAGCATTTCTTTCCATGTGCTGTGAATTCCACCTCCAGCTTAAGCTGCCTTTGCTGTTGTCATTTTGCACTAGAAAATTGGCAAGGGATAAATTTACTGTAATTCATATCAATAACCTGAATGAATAACTTTTAAGCTTCGAAGAGTCACTGTGCTCATATTTAATTATAAGGTTGACAATTTCAATTTAGAAATGCAGCTCCTTTTTGAATAATTTTAAAGAATACTGTGTTCTGGGGTTTCTGCCCACCTCCTCTTGAAGATCCATCTGATTATTCTGAACATGTTTTGAAGTTTGGCTTTTGTAACTCCCGAACACAATTTGTTTCAAAAGCTACTATGGAATTAAGTGATAAGAATTTGTACTGCATCATGAGAATGTGATCAGAATGAATTTCGTAGTGCTCAGGAAGCTGCATTTGGGTTTTTTTCTTGTGATATGCACTACAGCAGTGACCAGTCATTTTCAGCGAGTATGCCTTTCGCTGAGTCCAAAGAATAAGAGAGGTCCACTATAATGCTTGCTCTATCATGTGCATATGGCACCGTACAGGCCTTGGCACCACTGGAGAGGCTAGGGGATTGTGGACTCGCTGGTTCTTTGCCAGTGCTAACCCTATTTCTTCTACCCAGACATGCCCCAAACTCCAGTTGCCCATGCCATTTCTGCCACAGGATGACTGCCTGTATGTCAGTATGTATCAGCGTTAGAGGGCATGTGTTTGTCTTGTGTGTAGTGAGAAAAATAAATAAAATTTGGACAATTGAGAACTAAACACATGACTTCCCCCCAAGAAGGGAATTGTGTTAAGGGTTCTGGGGATTGTAGCTTTGTGAGGGGTAAACTGCAGTTCCCATGTTTCTTTGGAGGAAGCCACTTTAAATGTATGGTGCATACGCAGCTCTGGTGTGTGTAATGGCTGGTGTGTAGGGAAGGCTAGGACTGGGAAGGCTCAGGTTTTAATCCCTTGTTGGACATGACCTTATAATAGTCATCACCTTTCACGTTAACCTACTCAGAGAGTGAGTTATGGAAAGGAGAAAACCATGCAAGCTCATTCCAGAGATGAAGACAATTTACTCCAGTGAGCATTCTTTTAATTTGGCATTCTTGGCAGCGTTTTAATGATTGCCTTTTACTATTCTGTTTTGTTGTTGGTTTGTATATTTCTGACTTTGCATTTTATTATTTTGGGCTGTTGTACAAGGAGCCACCTTGACTACACTTTAGGGTAGAAAGTCGGTTTCAAACAAACAATACTTCACTGATTTCCAGTACTAAAATTCTATGTCAACTGGTATCTGCATTCTTCCCCTTCAAAAAACACTATTTTTAAAACAAATTACATAATTACACCCTCCCCCAGGTCAGGCTGCAGATGGAAATGAACATGAGTTGTAGTAGATTTGTGGTTCAGTCACAGTCCTTTAGTCCTTGCACATTACAGCAAGCATAGTTTATAGTTTTACCCACAGCCTGTTCCATACATATCTGAGTAACGTTCTGCAGGGAATCTAATGTACTCAAGGACAATAGTCACTGGGATACCTTTTTGTCTTTCTCTGCTATTCTCTACAGCCTCTTCAAGGCCTCATGCCATCGTAACCAGAGAAAACTGATGAAACGAGAATCCACATAAACACAAAATAGACAAAATATTTCTTTACAGCACCCTGAAGTTGATCTTTCAAGGATGCTTCTTAGATGACACTTTGCCATCAGCATCCTCTTCCTGAGAAAAATGTATGCACCTTTTATCAGGCATACTGTGATATAAATCACCGCTTTCCCCCTTCCAAATATAGCCAGGAAATTATCAAGCCCCGTTTCATATGCAAAATAAATTTGAGAATGGGGCAGAGATGCTATCATGGGCGTAGCCAAGGGGGCGCAGGGGGGCAGCTGCCCCTCTGATCAAGTAAAACAATAGAAACACTTAACTAACAGACTAAACACATCACTTCTGGGGGGCCCACAAAAGTCCCTCCCCCCCCAATCCTGGCTACGTCCATGGATGCTATGCTAGTTTCCTGACAGGTGTGTTGCTGTTGCTTACTGGGGGGGGGGAGAGGTAGGACTATTGGGTATCTTGGCATGTTGTTGGAGTACCACATTGACTCTGCCTGTGCGTTTCCCTGAGTCAAGCTCCCTGACATTTCCCATTAAGTAACAGCAGCCCACCTGCCAGGAAGCAAGCATATGGGTTCTCCCCCACCTAGTGAGCTGTTTCTGCCAATGCATGCGCATGGTGGCTCTTATGAAGGCAAACCCCTGCCCTAAGGTGGGATGCCATACAATTTTGATCCAGACCAGATTTTGCTGCAAACTCCCTGCCCCTGCCCCTGTTCTCCCTCCCCTCCACTGCCCTTAGCTCCATGCAAATTCGAAGCATTGTGACGGTGTAAGAAGGGGAATAGGCAGAGGGGTCTGGTGTGACTGGCGAGCATTGTGAGCAAAGGAAGAGTTGGAGCAGAGATTGACCTTGGCCTGTCATGCCTGGGGCATCTCCAAATGGAGAGATTCCTGCCCCCCCCCACTCCTTTCCAAGATGCTTCTGCATCCCTGCTTTAGACCAATTTTCTTTTCTGTGCTTAATGTGAGAATTGTTTTGCTGCCAAGGGCTGCACTTTATATCAATATGTCTTCTCCAGGCTGCCATCCTAGAGAAAAAAGCAGAGTGTAAGAAAATAGGGAGAAATGCAGGTTAAACTGTAATCAGCAGAAGTAAAAGCATTTCTTCTTTGATCCTTAGACTGACAGGACAAATAAGAGCTTGATATGTCATTCCTATGCTCCCCTCCAACTGAAATCCAGTCACCTCTGAAGTATTTCAATATTTACAGCCAAGTAATTTAACCCATAGTCTGGTCATAGAAATCAGAATCAGATTCCAAGTGTACAAATGAGAAGACTAATGAATGTTCTTCAATTCCATCTACATTTTGCCTTCCATGTCATTACTGCAGCTGCTGAATATCTGTAGCAGATTCTGGCAGAGAAGGGAAACTGGAAGAGAAAAGGGCAGGCCATAAGGAATACAATTTAAGCAGAAGGTCAACACGTAACTGAGTTTGGCAAAAGCTATACATAGTTAGAATTGGCCAGAAATCAAGTATCTGTACATCAAAAGCAGCAGTGAAAAAGGAACGGTGGGTAGATTCTCCCGAACCACCCAAAATCTGTTCTGAGGCAAGCCAAACAATTAAAACTTCTGAGGAACAAAGACAATGGAATGTGTAGCTTTCTAAGGCAGCGTTTTCTCAAACTATGAGCCTTGGGCCATTTTCGGGTGAACCTCAGTGCCACTTCCTGCCCATCACCTCCTCTGCCATATAGTCTGAAGTTGGATCAGCAGCTCCTTGCATCCTGAATAAAGTGGGGGTGGGCAGAGACGAGGAAAAGATAAGTTGGGGAGAGTGGGAAGGAAGTGAAAAAGGACTGAGAAAGTTTTAAGGAAATGATAAAGTCAGATAAAATGTTGTTTTTGTTGTCTACATAAACTGAAAAGAAACGAAAGGGATACGAGAGGAAAGCTGCTTTAAGAGGAAGAAGTGAATGCAAAAGGACCAGGAGGAAAGGGATAAAATAAATGGCATGGGATGGGATAAGGTTCAGCTGAGGAATGGCCCCAACTGGTGTGCCAGCCAAAGCTGGTTGAAGGCACTTTTCAGGGAACTGCCATCGGCTCAGGGGCGAGAGGGGAAAAGCCGGATGGATTACAGAGAGCAGGAAGCAGCACTTCCTCAGCGGAGGAAGGTAGCCACACCTCTAGTGGAGAGGAGATGCAGGGGGCGGAGGAGGCAAGGCGGTGCCAGGACACCTTGCCGGAGCAAAGCGGGGAGGAGGGAGGTCCCCCGTTACCCAAGCCTTTCTTGCGCAGAAAGCTTCCGCGCAGAGAGGGGAGGCGCAGACTGGGCGTCAAGAAACTACTCTGCTGGGGAAGGTTTAAGGACCGCCCATGCTCAGATTCTGCCAGTGAATGAGCAAGACACGGAATATAGGCGCTCTGTATTCTAAAGGTTTTTATCACTAATAAGAAAGCTTTAGAACAGACTATTGTGGCATATTGTCTGATTGCTGTCGAGCAACCAACTGATACCTTTAACAGCACTGCTGGCCACTATTAACAAAGATGGACCCAGGAGCAACCCCAGGTTTCAGATAATGGTTCCAGGGGACATAATTCTCATGCCTATGTAGATACTTATTATTAGCTCGGTGTGAAAAAAAGATATCAGTCTAAGAGCATACCAAGTTAAAGAGCAGACTGCAGGGGAGAACTCTTGGGATATGTGTGTGTATGGTTGTGTAGAAGGTCAGGAGAAGAAGGTGGAAAATTCACAATATAGAAAAGGACTTGCCTAAAGTGAAATAGTTTTCTTTCTTCTTGCCTGCTGCATTGATTTTCTGTCAGATGCTCTCTTCTATTTAGCAGTTCATTTGTCATTATGCCAGTTGGTGGTATTTAGGATGATTATGAAAAGCTGGATGTGTTATCAGTTTTCTGTTTACTTTACAGCATTATAAGAACTTTATTAGAAGAACCTGTAGGATTGTTTGGTTGTGACTGATGTCTTATTCTCAGCTTCTCCTTGCCAGGGCTTGTTCAACCTTCCTGTGGCTGACCCCAAACAGCCCTTGCCCATGTTGGCAATCTATGGTTGGGGATCCAGGTAGGTAGTTGTGTTGGTCTGACGCAGTCAAAATATATTAAAATTTTTTAAAAAATTGTCCAGTAGTACCTTAGAGACCAACTGTGGTGGAGGAGCAATGTTTGAACCTGTCTTCTGCATGACCTGGAATAAGAGCTGTCTGGCAGTGGAACAGACTCTCATGAGAGGTGGTGAACCCTCAATCCTTGGAGATTTTGAAGCAGGGGTTGGACGGCCATCTGTCATGCATGATCTAGTTGAGATTCCTACATTGCAGAAGGTTAGCTAAATGGCCCTTGGGATCCCTTTCAATTCTACATTTCTATTACTCCACAAGTATGGATCACCAGCAAGGACTTTTCCTCTGCAATCACAAGAAAGTGAGCACATTTGAGTGCACACTTTAGTAAACCATTTTTTTACACATGCAAAAGCTTGGAGAGCAGTGAGTAAGCAGAAAGGATTGCAGTTGTTTTTATGAAGGCTGTTTCTGTTTACAGCTTTAATAAGTCATACTGCATGAGAAACAATATCCCACACACACACACACCCCAAAAATCCCCCATGTTGTTTTGCAAAAATCTGAATTACTGTTAAGGGAAAAGGTAAAGGTATCCCTGCCCGTACGGGCCAGTCGTGTCCGACTCTAGGGTTGCGTGCTCATCTCGCTCTAGAGGCCGTGAGCCAGCGCCGTCCGAAGACACTCCGGGTCACGTGGCCAGCGTGACGAAGCTGCAGCTGGCGAGCCAGCACCAGCGCAGCACACGGAAACGCCGTTTACCTTCCCGCTATAAAGCGGTACCTATTTATCTACTTGTACTTGGACGTGCTTTTGAACTGCTAGGTGGGCAGGAGCTGGGACTGAACGACGGGAGCTCACCCCGCCGCGGGGATTTGAACCGCCGACCATACGATCAAGTCCTAGGCACTGAGGTTTTACCCACAGCGCCACCCGCGTCCCTGAATTACTGTTACTGCATTCCTATTGCAGTTCAAGTCTCTTTGCTATGGTTGTTAAAGCTATTTGCATATTTCCATGGAACATACCTAAATGATAAGCTCTCAAACTTTATAATGTAAAGGTAAAGGACCCCTGGACGGTTAAGTCCAGCCAAAGGTGGCTATGGGGTGAGGCACTCATCTCGCTTTTCAGGCCGAGGGAGTCGGTGTTCGTCCACAGCTTTCCGGCTTATGTGGCCAATATCATTAAACCACTTCTGGTGCAACAGGACACCGTGATGCTTCCATTTACTTTCCTGCCGCAGTGGTACCTATTTATCTACTTACACTAGTGTGCTTTCAAACTGCTAGGTTGGCAGAAGCTGGGATAGAGCAATGGGAGCTCACCCCGTCACGCAGATTCAAACCGCCAACCAGCAAGCCCAAGAGGCCCAGTGGTTTAGACCACAGCGCCACCCGTGCTCCCTAATTTTATACTTCATCTTGTGTAGCGCAACTCAAACTATTAACAGTAGTAGGAGAAGAGTGGTCAGTCTTTCAGTCTGGTAGCTCAGCTGTTGGTTCCAAGAATGTTGATTCTGCCACTTTACCAACAGGTTTGTTTTCTCCTATACATTTCCCACTAAACATATTCACAGAGTGTTTATTGTTATAAGAATGAAGGGAACCCCTGTAGGAAAGTATAATTTTTGTATTCTTAGTCACTGAGACAATTCATCTTTCTCACATATTTCCTGGAGTGCATTGATATTCCTCGTAATGAAAAAGATGCTTATTTAAGAATAGGTATGATTGCAAGAAATGAGTAAAGAATTATACAATAATGCCACATTTAAATAAACAGGATGGGATCGTGTACAGAAGGAATATTTAACTAAAATTGAATCTAAACATGCTGCTTTTTTAATACCAATCCTACACTTGTGCATGTTTGCTCATAACTCTGGCATAACCATCTTATAGTATCGGCCTTTTTCTTGATTTTCTCTAGTACAGCAACAAATGCAACCCACTTTCCCCCATTATGTTTCCTGTGTGAGTAATCCCAAGTCTACCTGCTATTTTAAGTAATTATTTGGTAATGCAGCATGTCTTGAAATTGGTGCACTACACTAATAATGCTGCTTTCAAATGTATCCCCCCCCCCCGATCTAGCCTGAAAGATCTTTATGCTGAGGCAACAAATACAATGTACATTAGAATATTCACGTGTATCTATGTATGTATTCCTTCCAAATGTGGGCTAAACTGCTGCACCCACAAGAGACTGAAATATTCGTCTCATGGATCTGACATTTTGTCTGATTATAGTGCAGGTTGTAACCAGAAGATAATGGTATAATGAAATGACCTCAGGACAATTTGCACTTACTGCTGACATGATGAGTTCTCCGCCTAAATTCTGTATTTCAGCTTTAACTTGACTGCAGATTTTGAGCTGGTGGGAATACAGTTTGATCTGTTCTAGATAAGCCAGTAAGTCCTGCTTACATGATGGGTCTTGACACTAAAAAAAGAAGGAAAAAATATTTCATTTTGCTAGTAATTTTTATTTTTTGGAATACAGGTGAATCCAAATTCATACTTTGGGTGAGTCCAAGAGACCGCATACATATGGTAGTATTTTTTTAAAAAAAGGTTTTACTTGAAAAACAGACATCCATGCTACAAACTCCCGACATTTTAAACAATGGTTCTCTAAATATCTCACTTCTCCAACACCACCTATAAGGTGCATGCTACAAAAAACAATTTTGTTCTTAACTCAAATGAATCACATTCTCAAATCCTTGACCCTGACATGACTGGATTTTTTCATGTCCGGTTCAAGAGCACACATTGAACACCATGCCCTAGTCTAATCTTGCTCTTTGGTATCATCATTTGATTATGCCATGTTCCTTTTGCAAGAATATAATTATGATAACATTTTATTCTATTATATTGGTGGTAGAACCAATGTGGGTATAGTAGTTAGAGTGCTGGACAAAGATGGCAGAGACTGGGATTCAAATCCGTTCTTAGAAACATATTCAGTAACCTGAATATGTTTTCTAAATATTTTTAATATTTCTGAAATGAATATATTTAAAATAATTTAAGCCTAATTTGATGTACTCAAATTTGTATATAATACTCAATTTTTACTTCTTTTGGATTTTTTTTCTTGCTAGGTCTTATTTCCTTACATGTCAGCATATAATGTTCTACTGACTGTAAATTCTTTTTTTTTTTAATTCCCAATAGCCAATTTTCATAACTTCAAATTCAAATATCCCAAAATTAAAACAAGCCTGCACTCTCAAAAAAACCTATAATAACCAATATTATTTTAATTTTTAAGATGGACAACTTTGTTTCATTAATTTTTTCTATTACAGCTATGGATTGTAGGAAAGTTGTACAAAATGGCTACCCAGTAGCCATTTTCCTCCCATGATGTCCAAAAAATGTAAAATTTTCATTACAAGGAATAAAAAAAACCATAAATTTCATTCTTTGTCGAGAAAGAGCATGCCTTTGCAATAATTTTCAACATCAAAAACTTTGGGTTGCATCATGCCCACACACTGTAAATTCAGGTTTTCTAAACCTAGTTTTTTCACCCAAAAAACTAGGCTACAAGTGCATTTATAAAAAAACAATTAGGCATTTATAAAATCTTTTGAGTGCTGGTGTATTTTTTTCTGAAATCCTCATCATTTTATTGAGCTCTGTGTAAAATTTCAGAGATCTGATCATTGGTTATGGAGGAAAAAAATAAAATGTACACAAGGGTATTTTGTGCTGAGGGTCTTGAGGGACAGACAACACAGATTTGACAAAACATTGAAGTGCTATAAAATTAAAACCGTTTGAGGTGTGGGGGGGAATTAAGGGGGTTTCTTTCAACCACAAGGGAAGGGTGTACAGCAAATTTCATCAACATCCAATATGGAGGGTGACATGACCTCGTTGAAATGACGTGGAATGGCCCAATAATGAAATGAGTAGCAATGAGTAGCAGCACTAGAAGGTAGCACTTGATACATTGGATACTCATCTTCACAGCCCTGTAGATGTCCTGCTGCATCCTTCCTTTCTTTATACCTTCCAAGAACTTCTAAATGTAACACTTAGGTGTACTTAACAAATGCAAGGAGATGGCAGTTGCTGCTCCCTAAAATGTCCTCCTCCCCTAGTTGATGTCAGGACCAATTGGAGATGGAACAAGGCAACAGAGAATCTGGAGGTGTAAAGGGCTAAGGTAAAGTAGCTCCCAGTGACATTTAGCATCAGTCCAAACTTCTCTGCGTCCAGGCATCCATTAGTAAAATTAATAATGACATAGCTGACCTTCCTCAGTCTATGCAGTAATGAATATTTTTATGTGGACATTCTCAGGCAGACCTGTTGATAATATTTACTGTGCAAAAAAATACATGGGAGTGGCTGTTTTAAATAACTAGACTGCATTGCTCAATAATATTTTCAGCGCAGTGCGATGAATGATGACAGGCATTCCAATCCAGCATTTGGCATGTGTTGCTTTAAGATAAGCATATGGAATTGCACAGAGGAAACATGTGAGCTTGTATAAACTTTCATATTAATCTGGGCTACTGGGAATGGAGTTTGTAACTGGCTGGATGGCGTGTGTGTGTGTTTTGCATGGAGTGTGTGAAATTTGAATTTCTGCACATATTTCTGCCTTCCTGTATACTGGCAATGCATGTTTGGAACACTTTTATTTATTTCTGAACCACTTCTAGTTGAGATTCCTGCTTTGCAGGGGGTTGGACCAGAAGACCAGCTCTACAATTGTCTACAGTGATTCTAAGCATCCTGAAGTTAAGCTTTTACAATACAACAAAGCATGTATAACAACACACTAACAACAGTCTGTTTTGATATCACGCAGAATGGACCTTCTCATAAGATGGTACCTGCAGATTTCCCTCTTTTGCACAACATAGTGATTGGTTGGATAGGTAGATAATAGATATGCTTTTTCCACAACATGGAGTGATATTATAGTGTCACACTATCTCTCCCCAACCCCCTCTCTCAGTTCTATGTATTGCTATTTAAAAGTAAGCCCCACTGTGTTCAGCTGGACTTACTCCAAAGTAAATCCATAACATAGCCTGTGTGTGTGTGTGTGTTTATGTATTCTGATCCCCTTCAAAAGCAAAGGCAATGCTCTAAGCAGTATAATGCAGATTAAAATCACTGTTGTGTGTCATATGACCATTAGACACTACCAGTTGTCATGTTAGCTATTGTATGGTTACCATGATATTTCCTGTAGGAACAAGAATTCCTTTCATTCTAATGAGTGTCTGTCATCCAAATGATAACAGAATTAGCCATTTCATTTCTCACAATAAAAAGTAATGATCAAGTGGAGCTGAAATAGGCAGATTCACTGAAAACAATGGTAGAATATTCATTGATTTCAATGGGTAAAGCCATTTTACAGAATAGTTGGGGGGGGTTAGTTAATATAATTCCATAATTCAAAATGCTGTAAACTGCCTCAAGTATACATTATTTGGGTTTTGCTTTACTTCCATCTCATCACTTTCCAAGGACATAAAATTACTTTGCTGCTGTACTGATTCTAGTAATGGCTAGTGCTACAGATCATGGCCATAATCCAGTACGGATCAAAGTACACTTAAGCCTATTAAAAACGAAATGTGCTGGATTGTCGCCCCGATACCGCTTTCAGTGGCTTCTCATCAAATGGTGCATACGTTGAAATTGTATTTAAGCTATTCGAAATAACACCCACGACTGTGCTTATTGTAATTATACAACTGTGATTTTTGTCTCAGTTATTTTATCATCAGCTAGTACCCTTTAATGGTAGTTTGGTGATATGCAACAAAATGGAATATAAATGAAGAAATAAATATCTTAATTACAGTTTGCTTTAAGTCTTTGGCTCCCACAGCACAGTGATGGTAGCATAAAGTGTCTTGTTATGGCTGCCGGGTGACTGTCCTTTGTTAAATTGATTACTTGCCTATAGTCAAAGATGATATTTTGGTGTTTCCTCCTGAATGGGCAATTTACTTGCAGGCTGGAGTTTGGGATCAGACTGGGACTATAAGGCAGTTGGCAGTTCTGAATTTGGGTGAAGTACCTGAGCCTGAAGTTCCCCTTCAGTTTTGCAGGTAGCTTGTTTCCAGTGCAAACAAAACTATCCTCTGATAGTGGGGAATAATATTTCTGGAATTTAAACAAATGAACTCTTAGCAAATTTATTTTTAGAGTTTGTGAGTAAGGGTTGCTGACATATTTTAAACCTGCAATGAAAATGGGTTGTAACCTGAATGAATGTGGCCACTTGCATTGCACTGTGTCATATTTCTTTAACCAGAAATAAGAAGTAATGTTGTTTTTCCTGTAGATTTTCAAAATGGCCCCTGCTAAAGTGAATAATCTATACGATGTAGTTAATGTTAAGCCACAACACATATTTTTTCCCCAGAGGCAAAAATCCCAAAGCCTAATTCAAATGGTTTCACAGTTCTCTATTTTGATGATATGAGATTGTATGCAGCTTGAGTAAAAGTCATTCATTTGAAACTGCTCTACTTTATGAACTGGAAAAGGTCAAAGAGATGCAACAATGAGTCTTCATTACACAGTGATTGCTTATTTCAGCTGCTCTCTCACTTTAGAAGCTACATGGGGAAAAGAAAAGAAGGGTTTGTTTTTCTAACTTGCATGTAATATGGGATACTGAAAACTCTCTTTTACATTATGGCCAAGGTGCTGATCGGGAAAGGGGTGTCAAGATAATAGAGTCGTGCTCTGTGAGGTATTGTGAGTAATAAACTGATGTATTCTAATGAATGGACATTATTGGTTGTGACAAGAAGACCTGTAATGTTATTCCCAGTTTAGGGAACCAGAGCAGGGAGAAACTATGAGAAAGGTATGTTCCATCCTGAGAACAATCAAACAATCCAGGCCCCAGTGGTTGGGGTTGTGTGCACATATCCAGGTGAGATAATTGCAGTGGTGCCTATCAGCTATTAAGAGACAAGGGGAGATCTAAGTCTAGCACCCTCATCTGAATAGCCAATTTATGCTACTTTTCAGTTTTCTCAAAGGCTACATGCACCAGCTGTAACAGCTGCACCAGGGAGCAAACTGCACATGCAGCACCCATTTGCACCCATTTGCTGGACTAGGGCAGATATTTGCACAAGGTGAGGACAGGGAAATGCTTAGAAAACAGCAGATCAGAAAACTATGGACCATGCTAAGCATGTCCCTGCTTGCCTGTAAAGCATGGGAATGCTGCTTTGCATATATCAAAATAAGCTTGTGGAAGAGAGGAAGGATACCTATTTCCTTCCCTGGGTTTGCTGCTTTAAGCTGTTCTCCCTTAGCCTGGTTAACTTTCAGTATCAGCAGAGGTGGCGGCTTTGTTCATGTCCTGAGCTTTATATAAATGGAGAAGTGCATGTTCGTTAAACACACAAGGTACACTGGGGCACCTGGCTTTACTTCTCTACAATATTTGAATTAGGAGAGGCCTTGTAACCCTGGACTTGATGGTGGGCTAGAGGAGGACCACTAAACTGACTCTGAATCCTTTTTTTTTTTTTTTTTTTTTTTAATAATTTTATTGGGTTTCACATTTTATAAAGACAAAAACAAAACACATAACACCAAAACAAACATAAAAAAAACAACAACAGCAAACATAAATAGTTCCAAAAAGCCTTATTTTCTAACCCTAGTCCTTGACTTCCCCCCACCCCCTCCCTTGCATCCCTGTTCCCAGGTTATGTCAGCAAGTTAGCATTTCTTCCTTCTTAATATTAGTCCTTTTATAGAAACAAAAAATAAGTTTTCCCCTAAGTTGGACCCCAATTTCTCTTCCCTCGATTTCTCATTTTTTCTTAAGTAATTTCCTTATTACTAAACCCCTGGTCTTGAGTGTTATTTAAGTTTATGCTTCCCTCCCTCCCATCCCCGCTTTGCGTCCTTTCCCAAGACATGTCCAAAATAACAGTTTTTAGCCTGGATTCCGCACATCCGAGGCTCTCAAATCTATTTCAGTCCCTCTCCGCCGGTTTTGTTGGTAGTCCTCTTTGTCAGTCATCGAGTCTCGAAAGATTTCATTAACATTCAATCCAATCAGTCCATAGTCTCTTCCATATTTATAAGCAACTGCTGAGGAATTTCCACAAGTCCTGAGTCTTGGTGATGGTCAAAATCAAAGTCTATGTGGAGGCCCCAATTGTACTTCTTTATTTCGAGTTCCTGAGTTCCATAAACTCCCAGGGCCTCCACTTTCATCTTCTGTATCTTTCGTAGGCTTGGAATAGATTCCATCCAATAGTCTCCTTGTTTGTATTCTCCAAATATCGGCTTCTGGTTAGTATTTTCCCACATGACTTGTTCTCTTTCTTGTTTTGTCTTCTCCTCTTCTTTGTTTATTATTTCAAATTCAGCTGTGGGTTCTTTCTCATTCAAGTCCTCATTACATTCAGCAGAGCTACTTGTTTCCAAATCCAAGGCCGTCAGTTGTTTTACTCATAGCTGTAGTCTGCTCCTGTAAGGTTCCCACCAGTGAAAACATCCTTTCGATTTCTCTCAGTATCTTTCCACCCACAGCCATTGTAATTCCACAGAATTCCCCCTAGAGGGAATCTGGTTACTGGATGATCTTTTCTCCAACAATCCTCTGTCCTATTATTGTTTCTTTGTTTCCCAAAATTTTAGTTCAATTGTAACTCCTTTTTATCCGGAGAGGTCTTAAGTAGCAATTTTTTTCAGTATTAACAGTCCATTTGACAGCTTTGACAGCTGTCAAATTCTGCTCCTCTATACAGGCTCCAAAGCAGATCGCTCCGGGCTCGGGAGGGAGGGTTGTTTACCACAAAAAGAAAACTCTTCCAACACTCCACTCTCCTGCTTAAATTTGCTTTTCCAAATCTTGGAAGTTACTGTCTTTTTTAAAACTCACCCTTTACAGGGTAGGCACTCCAGCTTAGCTCTTATATCGTTGCTCTGGATCGTCTTGCAAGGGGGGGGATGGGGACTTCCTTTTGGCACACCCCCCCGGTCGTCTCAAATTCAAAAGGTAAAAGTTTTTAAAGCTCAGTTCCAAATTACTCACGGGTTTCTTTTTTTTTTCAGTCCGAATTTCAAGGAGGAAGTCAGCGCTCTCCAGTTATGGCTCGCGGCTTCGCTCAGCGGCGGGTAGCGATCGACTCTCAGTGCCGCGCCGTCCCCCGTATCCCCTCCATAGCCTTTAAAAAGGCTCTTCGCGAATCAGGGGGGGCGCTTAAGGCACCCGCCGAGTCTTCAGTCCGCAGGCATCTGCACCTGCGGTTTTTAAGGGTCCCCGTGTCGCCGGCACGGCAAAGACCCATCCACCGCTGAGCCGATTCCCTCCGGAGCTCGGAGGGAATCCGCCATTCCCGGATCGCGCCAACCCGGAAGTCCTAAACTGACTCTGAATCCTGGCAAGATGGAGGCACTGTGGGTGCTGGATTCCACGTATGGATATTTGGTTAACTGGCTGCTTTGGAGGGAGTTGTACTCCTCAAAGAGCAGGTACATAGTATGGAGGTGCCCCTGATCCATCTTTGTTGCTAGAGGCCTAGGTAACCTCAGTAGCTGTGAGTGCTGGTAAGAAAATTAAAGCCATTGGGATAGCCTGACCGCAGACATCCATGTGCTTGTAACCTAAAGGCTGGATTACTGAATTGTGGGGCTGCCCTTAATGTTGGTCCAGAAGGTGCAAACTGTAATTGCTTGACTTCTTGTTTCAGCAAGGTACTGCCAAGACATTACACCACTGTTGATAGAATTGCATTGGTTCCTAATTAGCTTCCAGACTAGGCTCAGGGGGCTGGTTTTGGTGTATAAAGCCTTATACAACTTGGGATCAGAATACCTGAAAGATTGGTTCACCCCTTATATACCCAGTTGTGGCACCTACTATTTGGAATTCCCTCCCCTTCAATATTATACAGGTGCCATCTGTCATCATTTTGGAGCCTACTCTTTCTATTTCAACAAGCCTTTTAAATTGAGATATTTCCCAGTCTGCATCTGCATTGGAATGGTTTTTAAGAAGTTTTTATTGTTTTGTGGCTTGTATTTTGCCTTCAGGAGCTCTTTCGGTAGGAAGGATGGTATATAAATATGCTAAATAGCATTAAAGAAATACTATACTATACTGTGGTACCTCGGTTTTCAAACGTCTCCGTTGACGAATGTTTCGGACCTTGAACGCCGTAAACCCGGAAGCAAATGCTTCGGTTTTTGAACATGTCTCGGAAGTCGGACTGGAAACGCAGCTTCTGCTGAGTGCAAGACCTTCAAGCCTAGCTTGTCGACTATTGAGTTTTGTTTTTCAAACGTTTCGGAACTCGAAAAGTCTTCCGGAACTGATTGCGTTCAAAAACTGAGGTACTGCTACTGAGTGAACTGGTGGCAGCACAATCGTAAAGTTTAGTTTATACTAAACAAGTATCCTTGATATGTAGCCTTTTATTTTTAGACTAGCTAGACTGCATCTGAAAAGTGAACGAATTCTTATTCCTGATATAAGAGAAAATAAATTAATGTGTTGTTTCTTCTTCCATTTTAATTTAACTGCACATCAATTCCAGTGTACAGCTTATACTAATTCAATTGAAAAAGTAGGGTAACATTGAGGTAACATCTCAATGAAACAATGGAAAATTTTATGAAAGGAGTGGCGGGGTTTTAAAGTCATTTGACCAAGACAGTTCATTGGCAAATATTGATGTGGCTTATGTACTCCTGGTATAATAGTTTACTATGCCACAGTTTGCCAGCTGTGATAATTCTTCAGTGTTCCTCTGACACAGAAACTAGACTTTAGATGAAGGGAGCCACAAATACAAAGAATATGAAGGTATGAAGCATGGTAACAGTTGTATTCATCAACTACTGTGTTAACTACTGTATTCAAATTATTATACATACCTGATTAGAAATTATTCTTGCAAGCATATCCATTCTTGATCCTGACTCTGAGATCATTTTTGCTGCATTAATAACATCTGATGTATTCTTCAGTGGGCCTCTACCCCTTAAAACAGAAAAGCAATAAATATAATGAATTAAGTATGTATTGCAATTAGTGATGTTAAGTTCTTGAGAATAATCTTTTGGACAATATTCTTGAGAATATTCTTGATTAATGAGAATATTAGAGAATTTTCATTTAAAATAGAATATTTATTTTAATGCATTGAAAATGATATAATTTTAATGCGTTGAAAATTAGTTAATATACATGTTTATTCATAAGTAAACTTGTTCAGATGGCAACCAAAAACTGTACAGATACTTTTATTCAATGGGGCAATGCAGTGAATTCACATTCTTTGATTTTTTACACCAAACTTGAAATTGAAAATTCAATGTGAATGACGTACCGTATTTTTCGCACTATAGGACGCACCGGTCCATAGGACGCACCTAGATTTGGGGGGGGGATAAAGGAGGGGAAATTATTCCCCCCCCCGCCAGGCGCGGGGCTGGGGCGGGGGAAGCCCGAGCTTCCCCCTCCCCCAGAACGGGACCCAGAGCCATGCCGAAGCTGCGCGCAGCTTTGGCATCGCTCTGGGAGCTTGCGGGGCTGGGGGAGGAGGAAGCCCTCCGCCAGCCTCCAAACCATGTCGGGAGACAGCGGGATGGCGCGCTGCACCTCTCCCGCTGTCCCCCGAGTTTGCGGGGCTGGCGACGGGGAGGAGCAGGCTTATCCCCCCCCCCGCCAGCCTTCTAACCAAGTCGGGGGACAGCGGGAAGGGCGCGCTGCGCCTCTCCCGCTGTCTCCCGAGTTTGCGGGGCTGGCGACGGGGAGGAGCAGGCTTCTCCCCCCCACCAGCCTTCTAGCCAAGTCGGGGGACAGCGGGAAGGGCGCGCTGCGCCTCTCCCGCTGTCCCCCGAGTTTGCGGGGCTGGCGACGGGGAGGAGCAGGCTTCTCCCCCCGCCAGCCTTCTAACCAAGTCGGGGGACAGCGGGATGGCGGCGTTCCGCCTCCCCGCTGTCCCCCGAGCTTGTGGGGCTGGCGGTGGGGCTCTCCTGAAGCCTGGAGAGCGAGAGGGGTCGGTGCGCACCGACCCCTCTCGCTCTCCAGGCTTCAGCGAAAGCCTGCATTCGCACCATAGGACGCACACACATTTCCCCTTCATTTTTAGAGGGGAAAAAGTGCGTCCTATAGTGCGAAAAATACGGTATATTTACCATCAGCTTTGAATTCTAATTATGTTGTGTATGTATTAAATGTAGCTTTTAAAGTAAAAGGAATATTAAAAAAAAACCTCAGGTCCGCTACATGAGTACGTTCTTTAATAAGCATATATACACGGTACAGTATTTTCAGTACAACACTAATAAAATTGATATAAAGTGGGGGGAATCTAGAAAACTTTCTTACTGGTTAGCAGGTCAGCACTGTTGACATATAGGGAAACTTATTGTTTAGTAAAGGAAACAGTGAAAATACATAAGCACAAACCTACTTGTCACTTGCAAGTATCAAATTAAAAAGTAAAACATGTTTTATAGTTAAAGTTAGACCATTGTAGGGTGATGGCACCAGTAATTGTCATGTTAAGGTTTGGTATAAGGAAACTCAGTAGTTTAATCGTATTTTATTCTTCTATTAGAACATGTACATGTTATAGGACAAGTCAAAGAATACAATTGGCGTGTTAAAAGTTTGATAAAAGTAAATTCAGTAATAGGCTATCTTGTGCTTCTAATAGCTCTAACACTTAATAACTGTTTTGGTGACTTAAAACACAGCTTGATAAACAAAACTATATGCATACATATAAAAAAGAAGCCATTAACATTAAATATATTATCATTATATGATAATATATTTCCGTATGTCAATCTCTGGTAAATGGCACCTTGTACCATTGAATGGCACTGTAAAAACCAGTTACTGGCACTAAATAAAAATATAAAAGAGTGCTTTGTGGGAGATGTGTGTGCTCTGGGCCACTCTTATCATGAATGGCGCTGTGGTTTAAACCACTGAGTCTTGGGTTTGCTGATCAGAAGGTCGGCAGTTTGAATCCTCGCGACGGGGTGAGCTCCCATTGCTCTGTCCCAGCTCCTGCCAACCTAGCAGTTTGAAAGAAAGCCAGTGCAAGTAGATAAATAGGTACTGCTGCGACAGGAAGGTAAACAGCGTTTCTGTGCGCTCTGGTTTCTGTCACAGTGTTCCGTTGCGCCAGAAGTGGTTTAGTCATGCTGACCACGTGACTTGGAAAGGGACAGTGTAACAAACCCACCAGCTAGGCTGCCAGAGCAAGGGCACCCCCTTGCCAGCTACTGCAGGCAACCCTTGCCACAGCCTCCTGTTGATGGCAGCTGCCAGGCCGCACACTTTGGCAACGTCTCATAAGATTCAGGGCAGCGTCTGCAGTAAGTGATAGCTGCTGGTGCGGTGGTCGTGGGTCCTGACTTTTCTCAGGTGGCAAAATGGCTTGGTCTGATCCTCAGTAAAGTTGTGGAGAATCTATAAATGGCATCTCGGGGAGTATAGGAAGTTTTGGTAACTGAGTGCAAGAGATTATCAATAAGTAAGTGATTACAGTGGTACCTCGGGTTAAGAACTTAATTCGTTCCGGAGGTCCGTTCTTAAGCTGAAACTGTTCTTAACCTGAAGCACCACTTTATCTAATGGGGCTTCGTGCTGCTGCCGCACAATTTCTGTTCTCATCCTGAAGCAAAGTTCTTAAGCCCAAGGTACTATTTCTTGTTTAGTGGAATCTGTAACCTGAAGCGTCTGTAACCTGAGGTACCACTGTATGTGACATTTCCCCAGTCCCGTGTCATGCCACATTTACCTCAATATGTGACTATTAGTGCCACTCATCTACACTTAAATTGGTCAAATCTAGAAATGAAGGAACAGTACATCTTAAACACAAGAAGAACCATTCTGCAAATGCCACACTTTCAATTATTCTAATAAATGAATGCTCCCGGAGACAGATTCACAGTGAATTATAAATTATCCAGTAGAATCTGGTTTTAGCCATTCAACTCTTTGATTGAGGGGAAAGAGATCATACCTTTCTAATTATGTTCTGCTCAAAAGCAAACAATGCAGCTAACATTTCATGCAGGCAAGTATTGTAATGATTCCCTGGACGTCACCAGGAATAAAGTTTAGAAAGTATAGCCTGATAATTTCATTTTCTAGGGGACCCAATAGAATAGCTCCTGGCCTGTCCCTATTGCCCCTAGGTCATCACTGTGGCATTATGTTAAATTTAGTTATATTTGAACTGCAGTGGTACCTTGGGTTACGTTACCTTTGGATAACATAACTTTCAGGTTGCGAATGTGGCAAACCCAGAAGTGTATACTTCCAGGTTTCTGCGCAGAAGCGCACCGCACACATGCACAGAAGCAGTGCCTCTTGTTGCGGACTTTTCAGGTTGCGCATTGACCCCCAGAATGAATTAAGTTCGTATGCAGAGGGTCCACTGTGTACTTTGCTCTTTCCTTCCTAGTACAGCAGCAGCAACAGTTTCTGAGAGTGCAGGTTTGTCCTCATCCTCTGCTACCTACTTCCCTGATCCCATCAGCATCATGGCCCTAGAGACCCGCAACCTATCTGTTATTCAGGGGTGGCTGCCCCATTTTGTCAACTCAGGCTAAATGGGAATTGCCACCTCTTGGCCCTGCCCAAGCATGCCTCCCTTCTGCCACCACCACACCCTAGCTCTTGCCAAAGTCAGCAGGAGCCAGAGAGTGCTCCCCTAAGTGTTGCCTGCATTGCAGAGTGCCGAGTGGCAAGCAGCATAGATGAATGTCCTGGCTCTTGCTGAACTCAGTGGGAGCCAGAGCGTTCGGCCTGGGGGTAGGGAAGATGAGTGGCAATGCACACTGGGATGCCTCCTTGGTGGTGGCACGGATGAAGCACCACCTCTTGCACTTCCACCACCTGAGGCTGGCACTTCACCTGCGTCATAGGTGGGCAGGCTCTGCTGTCATTTTTACAAAGACAGCTTAGGAACAAGCTGAGAGCCTCACCTAGTGCTTCTGCTTGCTCATTTTTCATCCTCAAGTGAAGTAGACCAAGGACCTTCTAAAGCTAAATCCTTCCTCTGCACTGGGCCTTTGTTTGATTTTCATTCAAGACGGCTTTTCCTAATTCTTAGTCACAGTGTGATAGATTTGAATGCCACTAAGAGAGAAGAAGGAATAAAAAGGAACAGTACATTTCCTACTAAGTAACATATTGCCCTCAGAATATTCTGGTTTTGTATTACACATAGATTTGCATTATCTTGGGTGCTTGTTTTTTTAAAGGTCATTCAAATTGTCATATTGTGAATACAACTTCAGAACTCCTAAAAATATTTTTTTAAAGAAAAGAAAAAGATGTGGCAACTTTTAACTAATATATATTTGCATAAAATGCTACAGAGAAGCTTTAAAAAACTGTTAGATGTATTCAATTTAAATCAAGGTCAATGAAGAAAAATTGTATTGTATTTCAGCATGTGTTGTAAGGCATGCTGAAATAGAATCTGAAAGGAATTTGAAAACTTTTAGCAAACAAGAATTATTTTTTGTAACTGCAAAAGGTTTCATCAGTTGATCTCTCCCCCCCCCCACCAGCTAGTTGTACGTAAATAATACTTTTGCTAGGGGTAAATTCTTATAAACTGAAATAGCTGATGGACCTAGAAACACACTTTCTTTCAAAACTGCTGCTTTCTCTCTCGCTTCTTCCACCTTGCTATTTTTGGCAGAGACAATGAATGAGCAGGAATAGGGTGGGTAGGTGTCCTACTTTACAGAGGACATTCCTCTGTTCAAGGGGCTGTCTGGTCCGAGTCCAGTTTAGAGTTAAAGAACCATACGAAAGAAGTACAGCAGGATCTAAAAGTAGCCCATGGGCAGGTGGCATTCCTGGATAGCAGACTGAGCAGCCACATGGGTCATCTCTTCCTCACTATGGTGAGATTCCTGTATTTCAATTTAAATTAAATTATTTCTAATTTTGCATCTGTACATATATATCAGCACTTGTAATTTTTGCACATTTTTGTG